GTGACAGGAACCTCAACTATGTGGTGACTCAGGCTCTGGGCAGCCTAGGCCTTTCCTTCCCTGCTCAGCTTGATCTCCTTAAACTGGACTTGGGAAGTGTAAGCTGAGGAGGGAGGGAAACCCGGGCTCCTCTCTCTTTTCCCAAGAACTGGGGGAAAGGCAGAGGAAGTTGGAAAAGACAGGAGAAAGGCAGATTCCAAACAAGGGGAGAGGAGGCCATCGCTCCTCTCTCCCCAGCCCTTCCCTCTGTGCTCCCCGCTCCCTGCTGGGGAGGGGAGCTGGCTGGGGCGTTGGCTGCTCCGTTCATTCCAGCTCCCTCCCTCGGCTCCTGTTTACAACTCAGCCCGCCCAGTCCACAGCTCAGTTCTGAGCTCTTCTTTTCTCTCTCTCTCCCTCCCTCCTTCCTTCACAGCCTCATTCAGTCGTGTTTGGGCCACATTTCCTATTAGCTTCCTGCTCCTGTAGCATCCCATGCCCACTACTCACCGGCCTCTAAGCCATCTCTCACTGCTGCTTGGAATCCACCCGTGCCCGGTGTGTCCACCTGCCCCGCTCTCCCTGCTCACTTCCGTTCTCTTCCTCTTGCCTGGCCAGTCTTTTTTTGCCTTCCTTCCTCCCAGGGTCTGTACTCAGAGCCCTGCATCTCATCTCTTGTTCTCCAATCAGCTTTACCTTGGGTTCTGGTCGGGCCTGAAGATTTCAGTTAGGACTGAGCGTAATGGGAGGGTTTCCGGTACCACGGCTGTCTGATCTGAGTAATTCAGGAACTCCTTATTTGAAGCCTGAGGTTTAAATACAGGCTGGGATTTGGAGTGAGGTGGAGGAGGATGATTTTACTCAGCTTCATATTTTGAGTTTGGGTGAAGAGTTTGAGGTTTGAGAATGCTAAGGAAATAACGTTTGGATCCCAGAATCACCCATTAGGTTTGCTTTTCCACTGGGGAAGAGGGCAGATTAGGAAGCAATGAAAGTGAACAGACAAGGGCCTGCCATTTGGCGGGGATGCTAATACCTGGGCTGGTGTGTGTACGGTGTGGAGGTGGGGTCTGGGAGATCCCAGACGGCCCAAAGAAGGGCTAACAGTCATCAGTGATTTCAATGCTTCTAAGGCTGACATGCCAAAGGGCCCTCGTGGGGGGAAAAGTCTGCTTTCGAAGAGACTGCCAATACTTCACTGCACGCTTCACTTCCGTTCTGGGATGGGGGTTTAAAAGCCATGATTACTCTTTGAGCTGTCGGCGTGTCTTTTCTTCCCTGTAGTACGCTGATTTCAGAGAAGGGAGGGGAAGGGGAATCCCCTGGCAAGGGGCCTGCCCACAGAGCGCCCCTTTGTGGTTGCTATGGAAACAGGCATAATAGAAACAAAACAGAGGCACGTTGCCTGGCGACAGAAGAGCCCAAGGTTCCTCACACACACGCTACAACAGGGTACAGATCAGGGAACCCCCAGGGAGGGAGCAGCACTTCTGGGGAAGCTGGGGTATCCTAGTGATGACGAGTCCTAGAGCTCATCTCACTCTGCCTGGAGCACCGTGGTGTGGGACGCCTCGGAAGGGTGTGCAGTGCCAGCGGGAGGGCTGACGTCCTCCACCCTGATCCCTGGTAGCCCTTATTTTGACAGAGGAGTCTGAAATCTTGGAGAAAATGGAGGTTTTCTTTGCAACGTTGGCATGGAGGGGACTCCTTATAACTAAGAAATACTGTGTGTCTATCTGTGTGTGTGGGGTGAAGTAGCCGTGTAAAAGACCTGGTAGAAAAGATAATGTCCAATTTTCCCAAAGCATAGGACCTGCAAGGAACTCAGAGTACAAGGTAAGGGGGATCAAAGTACCTTTCCCTCTGGAGCGAGCTCCTCGAGGGCAGGGATTCCATCTTGTCAGGTTCTCTGTTACCTGCGCCACCACCACCACCGCCGCAAGCCCCCAGCCTAATGTCAGACACACTGAATGTTTGTGCAGCTGTATGAGAGACCTCCACCTGGGGGCATGGCTCCTTGGGGGCTGAGAGCCAGGGGAAGCTCTGACTTCCCCCCATGGGAAGTGTAGGGTGCAGGATGCTGTCATGAAAAGAACAAGGGCTTTGGGGCCAGTTATACCTGTAGTTCATTCATTCACTCATTCCACAAAATGTTCTTGAGTGATGCTATGTGCCAGCCCCTGCTCTAGGCACGGGGCATACTGCAGAGAACAAAAAATCCCCGCCCTTGTGGAGCTTCGATGCTAGTGGGAGCTTTGACTTCTGCTTCCGAGGGTTGTGTGACTTTAGGTAAATCACTAACCCTCTCTGAGAGCATTTCCTCCCAGAGCGCGTGAAGATTAAAGGAGCTAACCCACGCAAGTCCCTGCTGCAAGTGTCAGACACGATCACCATTAAGAGAGCTTTGGAGAGTGAAGGGTGGGGGGCCACAGCAGCAGGCAGAAGGAGAAGGGTTGACAGGAATTTCTAGAAGTGTGTGTCTCCAATTACACCATGAAAACATTCCCTTCCCCTGGGCTGAGGAGGCTGACCTAGGAACCCACAGCTCTGGTTCCAGCAGCACGATCATGGTTTTTTAGGTGGCAGGGTCAGCTTACCCCTTCTCTACCCTCCTAGCCTGGAATGGATCAGAAGCCAGTCCCCAGGACCACCCCACCAGGTATCTTGACACTCCTACCCCTGAATGAAGTACCCGGACGGTAATCCCTGCTCTGCGGCCGCTGCAAAAACCAGCCAGCCTCTCCCCGCCTCCTTCCCTGTTGACCAAGAGGGTGGCCAGAACAAACAAAGAAGCAGATAAGTTGGCTCCAAGCCCAGGACACTAGCCTCTGCTCTTTCTGGGGGGCTGACGGACACACTGAGATGAGGACACAACACCCACACCCTCCATGCTCTTTTTTTCCTGCTCCAGCCCCTCTCTCCAAAGTCCCATAGCCCCTTTTGCAGATACCTATGTCTTGCCGCTTGTGTCACATCATAGCTCTTTCTGAAAACCTAGATGTAAATCAACTCCCATTTTAATATGCACAAGGAAAACTTGCACTTTCAAGGAATCAAATAATTCATTTCACAACGTTAAAAATCCTTTGGTAAACTGTTAATAGAGGTAATTTTGGGGAGAGGGACTGGGCAGGGGAAGAGAAGACATATACTGTTTATTTTTCTGCCTTTCTGTATTGTTTACATTCTTCACCATTTCGAGGTATTGATTTTACTTAAAGAATGTCAACAGGGATTATCTGACTTGTAGGATTACAGGCCATTTCGTTGATCTGTATTCTTGGTCCATGTTTAAAAAGCTGAATAAATGTGATTTAAAAGGAAATAAAATTTAAAAAGCTGTTGGTAAAGGAAATAATTAGCTCTTGGTTTTTATTTTTTAAATGCATCTCAAAGTTGAAGAGTTCCGATTTTTTTCCTTTAAAAATAAGGTAGGTGCTAGGAAAGAGATGCAGAACAAATTGGAAGCAGGGGGGAATTCTTCAGAAAGCCTGGGTCTGTGACTGTCTGCTTGTGATATGTGTGGTGGCACGGCCTCTGCTGGGGGTTTGAGTCCCTATCTGGGTACTTGTGTGTGTGTGTGTGTGTGTGTATGTGTGTGTGTGTGTATGCGCGTGTGAGAGAGAGAGAGAATGCTGGTGCCCAAGTCTCTGCTTTGTCTCTGTGTCTTTGCATGTCTATGCCTGTCTGAATGTCTACACATGTGTCTCCACCTTTCTGTGTCCCTTGTATGAGTGTCTGCATGTCTGTGGCTCCTTTTGCTATCTCTTCCCTCCCCCACGGCCTGTACCCTGTTCGCAGCGTAACTGGACCTGGGACACAGCCCCCAGGGCTGGCAGCAGAGTTGGCTGCTGGGTATTTTTAGCCTGTAAACATGTTTGCCATTTCAGAGGACAGGGCTGCTGGTCTCAGCCCCAGCCCACTCATGATCTTGCAGCGAGGGGGGCCCTCCTGCCTGGAGCTGGGTCTTCTCACTTCCCTGGGGCTGAGGGTCTCCCTTCCCCAGCATTTGGGAGGGAAGGAAAACTGGCTTGATGTGGGCAGTGGGTGGCCACCAAGGAGGGAGGATAAGACGATTCATGAGGCAGAAGAGAATGGGGGTGTGCAGCCAGAAGGTCCCCGAACCCCATCATTAAGCATTTAATAAAATCTCCAAGTAGTTAGAACTAGCTGTGGGAAATGGCTATAAATTTGGAAACAGCGTCCTGCAAGTGGGGAGGTGAGGGAGCGGCTCGGACAGGGGATCTGAGAAGAAATGGGGAGGTATCGGAAAACCGGGAGCCCCGGCTTCCCTCAGGGAGTCTGGTGAGGGAGGCGAGCAGCCCGGTCTGCTCCCCCAAGGGTTGCAGGCCTGGCTGCTGTGTTGCTGCAGCAGCCGGAGCAGCACCATGGTTCTTGGGGCGCTGGAGACCCTGACTCTGGGAGGTGGGGCGAGCGTCTCCAGGCTGGTTCCGTGGAGCAAGGGGCCAAGGGGGCCCCAGAAGGAGGGAAGGCGAGAAATGGGCTCGGCTGCAAGGAGCTTGGGAACCAAGTGAGGAGACTGGGCCTAGGATTTGAAGTGTAGTTGCCCGTGTTGAGAGAAAAACTCAAAGGTCTGCGTCAGGCTGGAGGTCGCGGCTGAATCACCCAAGCCCCCCAGCCGCTTTCAGAACCACTTGGTCCTTCCTGCAAAATGGGCTGATTCTCGGTTTCAGTCGTGACGATGAGCCTCGGGGAGCTTCGAGGAGTTTCTTGCCGACGAAACTACACACTGCATACGTAGGGGATAGATCCGGACCCGGGCTAGGGCAGGGGGCAGTGGAAGGGGGCAGGGGAAGGCAGCACTTGGCCCGTGCGGCGGTCTCCTGGTCCCCGCGCCCCCCTGGGCCCTCCCCCCACAGCAGCCCGCTCCCGGGGCCCTCCAGGGTCGGCCTTGCTCGCTCGTCCCAGCCCTCCTCCGGCCCCGCCCGGCCCCGCCCTCTCCCCACAGCTCGGGGCAGACCCGCCCGCCCGAGCCGGAGTTACAAGAGCCGCCTCCGCGCGCGGGGGCCCGGCCACTCGGAGCAGCTCCGCCGCAGGGACTGCACCGCCCGCCCTGCCGGACCCGCCCCGAGCGGGGCTCGCCGCTTGCAGCAGCCGCAGCACCGCGACCTCGGGCCCCGTGCGGGCTATGGCTGTGCCCTGGGGCTGAGCGCGCAGGTAGGGGCTCCGGGCGCACCGTGGCGCGATCGGGGAACAGGACGCCGAGCACAGGAGAGGGGAGGTGGGTTGCAGGGCTTGGACGAGGCGCTTTGGGTGGGTGTCACTGTGAGGATTTGAACAGTTTGGAGCAAGCTAGGCAGCTCGGGGCCGCGCGGGGTGGCGACACGTCGAGCCCTGGGAGCAGAGCTGTGCCTCCGGAGTTGGGGCGCAAGTTGGGCAAAGTTGGAAAATCGCTCCGAAGCGTGCTTTGCTCCAGTCCATATTTCTCTCGAGGGCTGATTGTTGGCCCTACTGCACGGCGGGGCGCCCCGTTCCTGGCCTGGCGGCCCCTGTCCCACCCCCTCCTTCTCCATGGGGCGGTGGCTCAGCGCACTGCTCTGTTCCTATTCCATGTTTACTGGAGAAGTTTCCGAGATCGCGGCCGCGGCCCCTCGGCCCCTCCCGGTGCCCCTGCACCCCCGCGCCTCGCGCCCCCTCCGCTGTCCCTCCCCACTGCCGAAACCTCCGCCCCGAACTTCGCGTCCCAAGTCCTCCCGGCCCCACCCAGTTCTGTACTACCAGCCTCTCCCTTTCTGGTTCCTGGCGGCCCCCCTCGGCCCCCCTCCAGCTGCCCCGCCCTAGTCTTGCCCCTCCGTGTTCCCTGCTCCAGAAAACTCCCTTCTTCCTCTAGGTCTGCGGAGCCTGGAAGTTTGCAGCGCGCCTCTCTGCGGGGCGGGTGGGATTGGGGGTGGGGGACATAATTAGGGAGATTCCTGCACTGGGGTGGGCGGGGAGGGGGCTGTGCAGCGGCCCAGCCCTCGGGACCGCCCCTTCCCCTTTAGAGGCGGCCCTCTCTCCCCTACCCCACTCCCAAACCCGTCCGGGTGGGAGGGCCCCGCCCCAGCGCCTGGCTTGGCGCCAGCAGCCTGAGGAATGTGGTGGTTGGAGCCGGTGACTAATTCAAACCAGAACTCGGGGAGGAGTGGTGAGGGGCAAAAGGGAGGTGGGGGAAGGGGCTGCGTGTGGGAGGTGGGGGCTGGAGCAGTGCTCGGCGTAGGAGGAGGGCTTAGCTGTCCTCTCTGGGACCCTCCAAAGCTGTGCGCTCCCGGAGAGAGGGCCGGGGGGCGAGGTCCTGCCGAGGAATTGGAAAGGCAGTGTGCTTAGGGTGTGTTCAGAGAACTGTGTTATGTAAGGCTTTCCCATGCAGGGAGAGGGTGTGCAGTGTGTGAGAGCCTGGCTCGCCCCTGGCTTGGCTGGGCGCCCCCTGCATTGCCAGGGCCGGGGATGTGGAGGCGCAGCCGACCTCGAGGGGACATGTGGGGTCTGAGCGGGGCTGGCTGTGCCCCTTGCATGGGAGGGGAACGGAGTGTACAGATGGGGTATCTCACAGCTTTAGCCGGTCCAAGCACCAGGTGGGAGACTGCTCTGGCACCTCTGCAGAATGTGGCCACCGAGAATTGTGTGCTAGTGTGTGCTCACGCCTTTCACAGGGTGTGGCTGCTGAGAGGTGGTGATGAAATGCCCCCAGGGAGCCTGCAGTCGCTCTTGAGTGCCCTGCTCTGTGGAGTGGATTTGTGGGAAGGCAGGATGGAATCCTCCCATGGCAGTAGGGTCCTTAAGAGAGTGACCTGGAGTCTCCGGAGGAAAAGGGACCCAGATATTTACCTCTGTGTCCCCAGCACAGCACTGGGCTCCCAATAATTGGTTCTGAAACAGTTCCCTCTGCTAGAATCCAGCCTCTGATCGCAGGGACCTCATGCCCTTCCTCACACAGCCTAGCACATGACTGGGGTGGGGTTGATTTTTGTGGGCCACGGTGATCCGTGGGGGCTATAGTGATTGGTGAAGGCGGGGGAGGGGGGGGGAAGGAGGGAGAGATTGAAGGTGCCATGGAAGGCGTTTCAGGGCCTCCACAGCTGTGCTGGGTCTAAATTAGGGGTGCAGATTCTGCTTTGATTCCCTCTCTCTCCCCCTGTCCCCCAAGAGGGAAATCCCTGAGGCAGGGAGTGGCACTCACTTCCTTTCTGATGCTGAATGGGGAAGCTTCCTCCTCGGCCTGCAGGGATGATGGGCTGGGCTAGCACATGGTAGGCAGAGCCTGCTGAGTGGGGAGTAGAAGGGAACCCCAGGCTTAGGGGTACCTCCTTGCTCTGTGCTGTGAGCTGTGGGATGAGGTGGGAGAGGATCAGAGACTGTAAGAGCTGGGCTAGAGAGGATGCAGGGTCTAGGGGGGTTGGAGACGGGGATTGGAGGGTGTCTGAGCCCCTCTGTAAAGCCTTGTCTTTAAGAGGTTATACGCAGGTACATTGCTCAGGGAACAAGGCCACACAGGCAGCTACAGAAGTCATGCGGGACTTAGTGCTGCTGATAAGGAGGCCCACAGCAGCGATTCAGGGGTCCTCCTCTGGGCAGCTCCTTGAAGAGCTGACCCCACAGAGCTGAGGACTTGGTTCAGGGGGTGAGGCTACAGGTCCAGGGCTCATGGGGGGGACGCGAGAGCGTGAACTGTGAGAGACTTGTGGAGGAAGAAGGCCAGCTTCGGTCAAGGGCAGGGAATGGGCTGGGGGTCCCTGGGGTCACCTCAGTCTCAGGGAGGCCCTCGGTGGAGGTGTCCGGACACTGCCAGGCTGGATTCTTTGGCTCAGCTTGGAGTTGGCTGCCTGGCCCTAGCAGAGCACACCACCCAGAGCCTGAGGAGCTGGTTGGAGGGGTTGGGGCAAAGCTGTGGGGGTGGAGGGGTGTGTGGGGCTCTGGGATGTGGTCATCACCTTCCAACTTGGGAACCGCCTGGGGACAGAGAGGCAGACCAGGAGAGCTAGTCTGACTCCTGGTGGGAACTCTCCCCCTGCTGGCTCTCCCCCTGCTACCACTCCCAGATGCCCCCAAGTTTCTGTCCCTGGAGCTGGGCTGACCGCGTGCATGTGCACATGAGGAAGGGAGGTGGCGGCTCAAGAGGGTTTAGAATGTGCTGTTTGAGTTGGGCGGTGGTGGCGGTGGCGAGTGTCTAGGACCTTCTGCTCTTTGTCCCCCATGGGTTTCATCCAGGCTCCTGGAAGCTGGCATTTCTCTGGGCTCTGATTGTCCTGCTGGGCTCCCAGGCCTTCCTGAGCAACCCTGGGCATGCCGAGGAAGTGTGGGGGGCCACAGCGGGGCTCAGCAGGAATGTGTGTGCACAAATTTTGATGATGCCCCCTTCCTCCCTGCTGGCCTCAGTTCCCACCAGGCTGGGCTATTGTGGCTGGAGGTCTTGGGTCCAGGGGTCCCCGTTTCACTGTGGCGTTGAGTCCCTGTGACCGCTAGTGTCCCAGCAGCCAGGTGTGTGTTATTACCTGTGAGAGGGGGTCCCTCTGGCTGTGCATGGTGGTCCTGGCATTGCAGTGGGCCAGGATGTGTTACTTCTGCTTGTGTGTGGGGCTTATAGTGCAGGGGACAGCAGTGGGACCCTGTCCTGGTGGTGAAGGTTTCATGGGGGCTGCAGGGGCTGTAGGTAAGGACTGAAGTAAGTTTCTCCATTCTGGACAGGTTCCGGGCCCTGGAGTTTGTGTTTAGAGGCCTGCGGGAGGGTGAGGACAGCCCTGGGAGCGAGGCCCCACTGAGCATGGCCCGAGGAGGCGCTGCGCACGGCGGTCAGGGAGGGGCATCCTGCCCTGTCCCCGGGGACCGGAGCGGAGGTTCTAGGGGAAGGGGAAGTGCCTGGAGCTGATCCCAGCTTCGTGTCCTGGCTGGCCTGGGGGGCGGCTCTTTGGCAGCCCCGCCGAGCGCCTGGCCCCGCGCCCCTGCACTAGCGTGGCCTGACCGCTGGGCGGAGAGCTCGGCCGTGGTCAGCGGCGGGCGGCTCCCAAGCTGTAATCTACCCCCAGGGTGAGACAGTGTCCTTCTTCACCCCGCTCCCCGTGGAGGGTGCCACCCTCAGAGTTGGTGTGTTAATCCCAGCGGTCGTAGGTAAGGGGCAGGTGTGGGACTTCCTACTGCAGAATGTAGTGCTGCCCCCAGTCCCCTGTGATCAGGGGAAGGGAGAGTCGCTCTTGGTCAGGGGAGGAAGAGGGACTCTCCCTCCCCGCTGGAAGTGAGAGCTTGAAGCTCTGGGGCTTCCGAGCTCGCTGGAGAAGTGGGAGGAAGCCGTGCATGGCCAGGCAAGAGGGGTGGAGAAAGGTGTCAGGGAGGAGCCTAGAAAGCAGCTGGCTGGCTGGGGTGCTGGTGGGGCTGCCCTGAAAGTTGAGGTGCAGAAAACTACAGCATGATGGTGGGGGCTGGGAGAAGGGGCTGACGGGGAGGAGAGGGCTGGAGTGATGAGGCTGGAAAAACTTCCTCCTGCTGGAGGTTGTGGGCTAGGCCAGCGGTTCAGTAGCAAGGGAGTAAGCTAGGCAGGTGCACGCAGGTAGAGGGAGGCAGACTCTCCTCCATGATGGGCAGGGCCTGGGGCTGCTCTGACAGGCATGGGTTGTGAGTTAGTGAAGGCAGGGGCTGTGGGCCTGCTCTGGGCTGTGAAGTGGGCAGTGGGGCTGACGAGCGTCTCCGTGTGCATGCGGTGTGTGCTTCCTTGTGTGTCTTTCTCTGAATGTCTCTCCAGTGCTCATGTCACCTGTGTCTTGCAACACGTATATTTAATTCTCCCTGTTAATTCCACACCCAACACACGTCGCATTTAAGCTGAAAGTGTCCCCTTGGGGTGTACTGCCCAGAATCAGCTGAGTATAAAGTTCTTGATGCCAGCTTAGATTCTTAAGATTGCTTCCAAGTTCTACTCCAGTTAGAATAGGGCGTGTTGTTTTCCAGGTAGGGGGCTGGCAGCTGCATACGTGAAGGTCCATTTGGGCTTTGGCCCCGGAAGAGATGCCGCCCCTGTGTTTCTCCTTGTTCCTCTGAGACGAGGGTCTGCCTGCATGGCTGTCCCCATTCCCCAATGAGTGGAAATATTTGCCTTGCCCTGCTGGTGCCTGTCTCTAGAGTGGGTCTGGTGCCCCCCAAGCCCCAGAAGGGGTTGATTCTCTTGGCCTTCCCCTGCTGGGGCCCAACAG